AATGTCAAGATGGCTGCGAAGGCTTTCTTGCTTGAGCGTTAAGCTGCGTAACAAAAAGATCTGGTGAGGGGGGACAAAACGATCAGAGGATTTTTTTTTAGAGAAAGCAAGTCGGTAAAGATTAGGATTGCACTTCAGAAGGGAGCATCGGGGGAATGAACAAAAGGCTGGCTGGCACAAAGAAGATTGACCAGGGCTTTCGTTTCCCCTTTCACACCATGCAAATCTAAAGCAACAGACAATTATTTGCATTGCTTTAAAAAAAAATACCAGTAACTCAAGCCTTAATTAATCTGCAGAACTGCTTGCTGCAAAGTATTGTAGTGATAAAATATAGCAAGAATCAAAGCACGGGGGAGGTTAAGCATCTTAATGAAAGAGAGGACACCCACAGCCACAGCCACCAGGACAAAGGCAGGGAAAAATCAAAGTCTTTGTGTTTTTGTGCTTATAAAAGCCGCTGACTAACAAGGTTAGGGGCGGATTATTCTATACCGAACAATCACAAGGAATCTTCTGAAGGTCGATCTGGCTGTTTTCAGGGAAGACACCAGGGCGGATGGACAACCCAGCCCTCGCTGAGTGTGGGGGCTCCTTTCTGCTGGGTGGAGGACACAGGCTGTAGATGCCGCTGCAGGAATGATGGGGCTCAAGAGGGTGTGCCCAAGGGCTCACTGCTGCCCACCTGTGTGAACCCCAATTTCTAGGGTTATCCCTGTGTTTTCTTGTTCTTTCCTGGTCTTCTTGACTGTTTCTTCACTGTCTGGGTTGGGACATCCACTTCTTTCTTGTCTTTGTTGTGCAGGCAAGCAACTTCTTTGCTTGAGAGAAGGAGGCTTGTCCTCCAGCCCACTCCAGGACCTACACTTCTACAAGCCAGGTGCATCCCATTTCTCAATCTGTTCCTACTATCCTAACCTATGCCAAGAAAGCAATCCCATAAAACATCATCTTAGAGGTCTCCTTCTCTGAGGGTATCTTGACTATGTATCAGAGTTACTTCAGAGAGCATCCACAACCCCCTCCTTGGGTTCCTGTTCCTCATGAGCATGAAGGACATCCCAGGCAGGATTCATCTCAAGCTCTCCTGGTAGGACAGACAGGCATCCATGGGACATCTGTCCCAAAAGATGGGCTAGATGTCTCTCTGGGGAGGTCTGTCTTTCTCTCCACTGAATACAGAGGGACCTGGGCTAGAAGGATGAGAGACCTAAGGTCTATACATCTAAAGGGAACCAAATCTTCCCTAAATATGGCAATTGCTGCAGCTGTTTAAAATACTTGAAAATTTCCTAGTCTTTTCTCTTTCTTTTTGATTTGGAAAATTAAACTGAGCTGAACTAAAATCTTTCCAGGGGCATGTGTGGATTTCATCAAGATTTTGCAAAGAAAAGTATTTTGTTTGGATAGCAACACAGCATTTCTGGGGGGTGTTTCCATTTGTTTTCTAATAGGAACTCCAGCTCCCAAGGATGGTGTCTGAGATGTACAAGAAGCAATACAAAAGACCCCCCCCAGAATTCCTCGTCCTGCGGTGATTTGGTGTTCCCTCTCACTTGGGTGTCCCCTTGGCCATCTCACCACTCAGTGGTGGAGCTCCTGCCTGCGCAAGGCACAGGCAGTGGCTGGGGACAAGAGACATTTTATAATGTCCAGGCCAATACGCAGGAACGCTGCTGTACTTACATCCCTGGCTAAGCAGGCAGGACGTTGCCAGCCTCTGGCAGGACAACTTACTAATAAATTTGTGGGTTTTTTTAATGCTGTAGAACTCTTTTCACTTTACTCTTTCAGTGTTATATCCTTCAGGGGAATTTGAGGGTGGCCAGCACACATCTAGGGGAACAAAACTTGTTTCATATTACATGTTAAGATTTTTAGTGGGAAGAAATGCAGCTAAAGACCCTACCAGAAGCACATAAAACCAAACAAAACACAACAGATCCCTTACAGAGTCATCTGCAGTAAACGGCTTTATTTAATAACCTTGCAAAATAACAGTGAATTTAAACTGTGATGTGGAGAAGACAGCACCAAAACTTTTTGGCAATGAAACACTCATTCCTGCTTCATGAGCCTTGGAAAGCTCCCGAGCCTGGGGATCCACTGATTTTACGACAACCGGGAGACTGAAAACTTGGCAATTCAAAGGAGAAAGGGTTTAGCAAGACTGCAACAAAGTCCAGCTTTGTGTTCGTTACGCAAGCATCTATTTCACTCCAATGACTACTGAACACTTAGCTGAAAAGAAGGCTTTATTCAGAAGTTTTAAAATCCTGCAGCTCTTTTGAGGCGAAGCATTCAGAATAAACATCTCAGTCAACTGAAAAGCCATGAAGTCAAAACAAAGGGTGAGATATTATTTTTCATCTCCAATGTGTGCTTGGAAATGGGTGAGTAAGAGATTTTTTCAGGCCTTTTTCATGAAAACCATGAAAAAAGGCACAGTCCTGATTTCAGAAATGCTTTTCCAATCACAGTTCGGACACTGCCAATTCTTGAATTTGACCTGTGTGAGCATACCCCTTAAAAAAAATGCTCCAATAACACACAGACTAAAAAACCACAGCTAATAAATAATGTTCTGATCATAGAATGGTTTGGGTTGGAAGGGACCTTCAAATATCATCCAGTTCCAACCCCCCTGCCATGGGCAGGGACACCTTCCACTAGACCAGGTTGCTCAAAGCCCCATCCAACCTGACCTTGAACACTTCCAATGACGGGGCATCCACAGCTTCACTGGGCAGCAAGATCTCAAGATTGCTATTAAATAGGAGATTTCCTTTTCTTATACTAACTTTCACTTAATTCACTCCAGATAAGAGTCACATTTTCAAACTGCTACTTAGCCCTTGGGTTTCTACCACCCTTTGTCATGCCAAGAGGGTCCTGTCCCCCAGGTAATTTGGCTGAAAGCAGAAAACTTAACTGCATTTTAAAAACTCAAGGTCACTTGGTCCTTCCAAAGGGCTGCTTTCAGTAAAGTACTTAAATGTAGGTTTGACTTCAGTTAAATTATTTCCTGAGCGGGGCCTAAGAGAAGTCAACTCCAGAAAGAAAAAGACTTCTATAAAGGTTTCCAAATTTGGGCTCAAAAGCATAAAAAAGCAAGCGATTGATTTAGCAGAGCAACTCAAATATTCCTCATTAAGCACAGAACCTCATTAGTCTGTGCTGTGGTGAAGACAACTCCTTGTGGACAGGTGGGAATTACTCCATGACTCCTGCTTTGGAGTAACTTGTCTGACTTAAAAATAGTGGAAGGTCCCCTCCCCTGTCCTTGCTGGAAGCTATTTGACAGAAGCTTCCGTGTTTCATTTACATTGTATCCTCATCTACATGAATCTTCTACCATTGGCAGCCCTTGGCTATAAGCATTTCCCCCATCTCCCCACCTCATGTAGATGAGGTGTTCAACCTCAAAGGGATGGACAGGGGATGACTAGGTTCGTACTCATGCCACCCACGTGCTTTGATGGCTTTCTCCTCTCCAGTTCTCTCCGGCCAGGCAGGAAGGTCCTGGATGTGTGTGTGTCCGCCTCCATCCAGACCCTTCTGTACAATATAACTGGAGCCATGGGCTGGGTACGAGTTTGGCCAAGCGACAACAGAGGAAACCAGACAGAAGGGAGGTGTGGAGTGATGGTACTCAACAGCAGGGAAGGGAAGGATCTTGGCAGTCTAGTCATGGGTTTTTGTCAAAAAAAAATCATGGCTAATGGAGGAACTCAAACGAGAAGTGGCTCTGTGGGTGATAAGGGGAAGCCTCCTTCCAGTGAGATGAGCAGAAGGAACAAGGGAGATGCTTTTGGAAAGGTAAGAGGTGAAGAGGACAGACATTGTTGGCTGAGCTATAAGAGCAATAAGGCTCTGGACACCAAGAATGAATGGAGTGGGTGTTGTTTCTGTCAATAAGGACAAGTAGCCTGTGCTAGATATGAGTAAGAGGGAGGCAAAGAGGGGGATAGCATGGTTAAAGCAGTGGACTGGGAAAATTATTTTCGTACCAGCTCTCTGGAAGGATGGGGAAGAACTTGCCAAGATTTGAGACAGCAAAGAGAGCAGAGCTCCAGGGTAGGGGCTGAGCTACAGAGGATGAACGCGTTACCCATCAGCCTGGATGGTAGGATGGTTCAGAGGAGAGGCAAAGGAGGATGCAAAAGAGCATGTGGCTTCAAGTAAGGTTTCCCGGAGATAGATGGGGAGTAGTGGAGAAGGGAATAAAGGACGGAGCTTGGCTGAGCTTTCATGGAAAGCTGGAAGAGGTGGATGACAAATACATCCCAATGGACACACTGCAGCAGAGGTAGAAAACAAGTGGGCAAACTGGGAAAACTAAGGGAAAACAAGATTTTATGGAGGAGAGTGCAGCTGGTACTGTCAATGATAACCAGTACACCAAGGCTCAGGCAGAATTGTTCCTGAGTTTGGCTGAGTAGAGCTTGCTGCATCTTTGGAAGAGCCATTTTAGGGCGGTGTGAAGGGCAGGAGCTGGACAGAAGACACTAGGACAGACCCAGAGTCCGTCGGTGCCACAGGAAAGCAGGGGATGGTAAAGACACGGCACGGGAGATCCAGACACCAAACAGGACACGGTTGCTGATGTTTCTGCATCTATGACATGGAAGGAAGAGAGAGGGATAAGCAGGGGGAAGGGGAAGGCAATCTTGGCGAGATAGCATGCGGTATTCAGAAAATGTTAGAAGCCATCAATGTGCAGGTATCACAGCAATGAGGATTGTAAAATTCCTGGGATTAGTATTAAGATATAATTCATGGCTCAAAAGTACTTTGCAACATAGACAAATATTCACAATGGTGGGCATGAAGTTAATGGCAGAGTTAGGAAGGGAAGAGCTTAATACAGGCCCCTTGCCTGGGAAGTATTTGCTGACAAGCACATGGAAACTGCTGGGTTTTGTACACTGAGCAGCAAAAGGTAAATCCTCTTGTATGTTTCAACATGCCTGATCTCTTTTCCATACACAGATTTTTACCTGGGGCATAGCCGGGGCTGCTGGTTGGATACATGTTTGGGTTGTAGGCTGGGGCAGCGGTGGGATAGCCCGTCGGATAACCTGCAATGAGAAAAAAAGAGAAATTATGCTTTTGTCAACAGGGAGAGAGAAAAGGACAGCATCCCTGGGAAGCAATAAACAACCTGTGTGAGCAAAGAGGCCAGCGGCACAGCTGAGAGGTAAAGCACAGATGTATTCTCAGTTGGCCAGGGTACAGGAAGGACTGTGAATGCGCTCTATAGATTTACATGTGACATCATCAGTATTTCATCTTTATTCCTCTAGAAAACAAGGACGATAACCAGAATGCAGAATGCAGGAATGTTCACTGTGCTCTGAAGAAAACTACCAAGAAAATACACACACTGAATGCAGAACTCAGCTACAAAAAAACCACCAGCGCTGCAGTATTTGAAAGGTTTTCCTTGGCTGCTTTCAGCCATCATAGCTTGATCATCGTACCACTTTTTGCATTGTAACAGCAGAGCTCAGCACCCAGCCCAAGTCCTCGGTGCTCAGCACTTCCATTAACCAGAGCTTCTTGCTAAAGGGAAGGTAGAGACACTGCATGAAAACATGCCAGCCCTTATATTCACTCATGGCTGCACAACTGCCATCCCTGGGAGGGACCCAATTACCTGCCAGGCCACCTGGAAGGAACACGCATGGCAGCTTGTACCCTTTGAAGCCGCATGAGGTTTTAATGGGCACTTTAGAAAAGGTTGCAGAGCATCTTCAATTTTCATCATCTTCACTCAGATCGGTCACAGGGAGTTCAGGGGAAATAATCTAAACAGTCAGCTACATGGAGGCTTGGAAATCACCGTACGCTGCAGACCCAGCTCCCTGTGTGCACCCACACACAGTGCAGATGTCTTGCACCAAACTCTTACTTCATTAGAAGTTCTTGTCCTCTACAAAGACCACAGACGACAACCTCCGCACCTTGGTCCCCTCTGTTTTTGCTTTTGTTTACTGCCCTACTTCCATTTCTTGGAAGTCTTCCTGACTGAAAACAGTAACACTCGAGTAACTCCATCCTTTCTTACATGCTCCTGCGTAAATCCCTCTGACAGACCGAATGGGACATGTTAATCTTCCTTTGCTGGCGGAGAGTTTGGCTTTGGCTTTGCTGTGCTTCACGGCCATGGCCACCGCCCCGGTTTATCTGTGCATCTCGTTGGCCATCGTCCCAGAGCAGAGCCAACCCAACGGCAGACAAAATAACCCTTGGAGAGTCTTTCTACGCCAAGCTCCACTGACGCTGTCCGCTGGTTGCCAGCAAAGGCTGGAAGAGGTAATTAGCAGTCGATTCACACCCCATCTTTTTTTTTTTTTTTTTTTGCTTTATTAAATAAAATTGAGTGTGGGCCTTTCCTCTCCCTTTCTGAGCAGTAAGACAAACACATCGCAATCGCTTCCTCCTATGCCCCAAAGCTCACTGCTCTTTGACTATGTGCAGATTTCTAAAACCTGGCACCCGTTACACAGCTGACTACTGCGGCAAAATTTTGAGGTTCATTTGAATAAATCTAATTCAACAATCATGACCACTGTACTGGAATAAATGACTGTATGTTCTACCCTCTCATTTTCATCAGTGATATATTTGGCTTCTAAATCAGGTTAATTAAAAATTGCTGTAGTTAATGTTGGATAAGCAGCAGTTTAACAGATTTTATTTTTTTTTTTTAGGCTACATAAAACTATGTTGTCATCATACTCAGGAATATATACAGCCTTTTAGCAATCAAGAAGCTCCTCGGAAAGTTATTTGCAGATCCAGTGATTGCAAGCAGAACATTAATGATGAAGATCTTAAATCAGAAATATGCTTGCCTACTCTCTGCTTCATTAGAAGATAACAATTTCTTTCCCAGTATATTCATCGCTCCAGGGTCCTCCTATTATCTGCTCGAGCTCAATGATCCCGCTTTGCCTCCTGACCAATCTGGCTAGGGGTGTTAAACGAACTCCAGCTCACTTCTTGACCACACCAAGCATATTTTCCCTATAATTCTCTCAATCGTGTTTCTACATGGGGTTTTACCTCCTCAGCACACAGTTTAGTAGCTGATGGCTGTGTGTGCGTGCCATGGTGTTGGGAAGTCCCTTGCTCATCAACTAAGGATGAGATCTAGATGATAGCCTTTTGGGGCACCAAGGGGTTCTTCTGGTCTTTGCTGCTGGTTAATCCCCCCCAAGTAAGTCTTGAATCCCATGAACTGCTGCAGTAGTCCTTAATAATAGTCCTTAAGTAATAGTTCTTAAATCAACAACCATGAAAAACATAGTTCTGTGTGGCTACATGCAGCAAAAGTTTAATCTGTGCCCTCCGAGATATCACCAGCAGACACACACTACCATATTCAGCAAAAAAACCTTCTCTTTTACTCGGACCAGAATTTTCAACATTAGGTTTACAGGCGAAAAACAAGCCTGAAATAAATCAGACCACTTTCAGACCACAGGAAAACTGTGGCTTTGGGTAAGCTTTTCCATGCAGCCCATTATTGAAAGACTTCACAGTTATTTCAGGCAGATGGAGACAACCATATATTTAGGTCTTCTTTCTTTTTTGGGGGGTTTAACTTATGCTTGGTAGGACTGCGTCTTGCTTACTGTGGTATCTTTTGTTGTTCTGAAAGAAAGTTATGGCCATTTTCAGAATAATTTCATTTCAGATAAATACCGTTTCTATCAAGGAAGCTTTAATAGCTTCGGATGCGAAAAGATGCAGCCAGCCCTGCTCTACTCTATCTTCCACTCTGATCTCATAAACTTTGATAAGTGCTGACCTCCAGCAAGAAAACTTGTCCCTTCTATTTCAAGGGGAAACGGAGATGGGAAAGGTACAGGAAAATTAATGTGGTTTGCTCCTTTTTTGGACATACTAAAAGATAAGAAAGTAGTAGAATCTGGGGCAATTTGTGCCAGGGGAAACATGCTTGAAAATTCCCAGCACTCAAAACCCACTGGGTTTAAAAATACATGAGACGGTTTTATACCTTATTGGTTTTTGAGCCGTTAGGATTTATTTTGTTGGATCTTCTTCATCCCCCAAATGACCACAAACAAGCTTCCTCAGGAAAGCAAAAGCTGCAATCCCCATGATGGTCCCCATGTCTTACATCCCCTAGGGTAGAAGACAAAGCCTGGATCTAACGACCAGGGATGAGCTCAGGAGAGGTGGCAGCACCAAAGCATCTGGCATCCTGCTCTGATTTTGCCCCTGGATACCCTAAGAGATCTCCAGTAAATCCCTGTCCCTCCTGCTGACCCTGCTCCCCTCCTACCACATCTGTCTTGCTTCTTCACCTTGAATCAAAAATAACAGCAAGTGGGCCAAACCCACTTGTTTTATGTTGAGTGCTGCTAATCTTCATGGGCTTCCTGCTGGAGACATGAAAAAGTCAGGGACAGAAAGAAAATATCCTTTACTTTCTACTTGTACAGATCTGCACATGATGGGACCCTGTCTCTGCTGGGGCTTGGAGCCTTATTACAGCAATGATACAGAAGGAAAGAAAAATGAGATGAAAACATATTGAACAAAATTCATTAGAGTCCTCACAGAAGAAATCAAAAGTTGTTTTCTTGCTTTATTTTAATTTAATATCATCTCCACAATCAATAGGAGTAGGAAAGCCAGTGTTCATTTAATGTTCTCCCCAAGGAAAATATACAGCACTCCAACTCGGAGAAGCACTAACTGAACTGCTTTAAAAATTACGACTCAATAACTGGCTGTGCAAAGTGAAGAGCACACAGGGCTGCATCAAGTAGGTATTTTAAAGCTGTCTTTAATTTTTCATGTATTTCTAAATGTTTCTATACCATTATTTCCAGCTCTGCTCACCCCTGTCCTCTTTGGTGCAATGCTGCTTTTGATTACTGGCTTTTAGGCTACGAGTCCCAGCTACCCACCCCCTCTTTTTAACATGCACACCTTTAGGAGATGCACTAGTAAAGGTGTTAATGAAATAATTTTAGAAAGAGTGGCATACAGAGCCTTCAAATGTGTTTAACCACCAGCTTTGCTTAGCCCAGGCTCCTTCGTGATTATACTCAGAACACCCATAATAAAGCAGTTAGCTTAAATTTCTAGCTATATATATTTTACTGCCTACATGGAAGACAGATGCGTGTGCAACTGTACACACAAGCTCACCGCAGACCGCTTCTGCACGAGACAAGAAATGGTTGGATGGGGCATTTAAGACAGCTCTTTCCATTCTGGCAGCCTTCTGGGATAGCTTATTCCTGGTCTCGAGGTACCGAGCTCCTATGCGGATGCTGTGGTTGTTCTGTACGTCAGTAGACAAAAAATGCTGAATTACTGGGGAGAAATGAGAGGGCAGGAGAAAAAACCACAGAGATGTCAGCAGGCAAAGGGCTGCCCTCGCAGGAAAGGTTAGCTGCAGGGTGGGGAGGATTAAAGAATTGAACAGGCAGCAATAGAGGGGAAGGGTATATTTGGGCTCATTCAAGGATTGGATTTGTTATATTCTCTTAATTCGCTTCGGCATCTGAAATTCAGGGCGCTCATACCCAGCCCCAGGTGCAAACCAGCTCCAGCTCATCCTTCCCACCAGTCACTGGAAAAAACCTTGCGACACCCTGTAGGTTGGCACCACCAGGCTCCATAGGACCATGCACAAGGGACAAAGTGACATTAAAACCCCATGACAAAGGCACCTGTGGCAAGTTTTAGAGATGAAGTCCCAATTCAAAGGTCTCCTCCTCATTTGTCTGCTTCCTCTAAAGTAAACTTCAGCATACACTGCCCATCCTCACTGTAAATGAGCAACCTGCATCCACAGAATCACAGAATGGTTTGGGTTGGAAGGGACCTTCAAAGATCATCTAGTCCAACCCCCTGCCATGGGCAGGGACTTCTTCAATGAGATCAGGTTGCTCAAAGCTCCATCCAACCTGGCCTTGAACATTTCCAGGTATGGGGCATCCACAGCTTCTCTGGGCAACCTGTTCCGATGTCTCACCACCCTCATCATAAAGAATTTCTTCCTTACGTCCAATCTAAACCTACCCTCCTTCAG